AAGTAAATCCCCCGCGCAATCGCCAGACGCGGGAGTCTCACGGTGCTATCCAGCCGCCTTCGCAGCAGGACACGGCGGACAACTCAACTGTTGGATCTCCTGTCTCTGCGAGTAGCCATCAATTTCAAGGCTTGAACCTCGCTGGACGAAGCTTAACCCCCTTGCAGCAACAGCAGTTGATGCTACTCAAGTCCGCCGGTAATCAACAAGCTGGTCTGGCTGACCCTCTCAGCTCTGCCGCTCTAGACCAAGCTACCCAAGTTCGCCAAGGCCTTGTGCATAATCAGATGGCACAGTTCAACGCGCTGCAGGCAGCACAGAGCCGACAGTCTTCCCGATTTTCCTTTGCCAATGAGGCCGGTTCTAAGAATATGCCCAACGCACGCATGTTGGGCCAAATGCAATCTTCATCTCCCAACCCTCTTTCTGCTCCAAGCCCTCAACATGGTCTTGCAGCAAGCGGTTTCTATGCTAGTGGTGTACAGGGTCCCCCGCCGGGACTAAAGACGGCCGGTACCCCTCCGATTAGTGGTGGCGGAATGTTCGCCCAGGGACATGGCTTCACCTCTGGGCTTGGTGGTAATGGAGGAAAGCAAGATCCTACTCCGGAGTTAATGCGCGAGCTACTGCGTGGACGAACTGGTACGAATGTTGGTGGTTTACAGGGCCAGGAGGCCGCTAAGCGTGAGTTCATGTTCCCTTTTCTTCAACAGCACAATACCCCACCCCCCATGACTCCTGTCAATGGCCTTCTCAGCTCCTTCTATGGGCCCCAAACGGGTGTAATGCCTGATTCCGGTGGCCCACAGAAGCAGAAGAAGAAGGGGAAGAAGCACAGACACGCTAACACTTCCTCCGGTGGAGGTGGTGTAGTAGATCTTGCGGACCCGAGCATTTTGCAAGCGAGGATGCATCAAGTCGGTGCGAATGCTACTGCTGGGCAAGCGTTGTACGGGAGTCAGGGTCAAGGTGGGTACAACCCCTCGATGGTGTATGGTGGTGGCATCAGTCGGTGGTGAATCACCATGGTTTCCCCTTAACCTACAACTTATTCCCGTGATTTGATTTCCTGCATTTTCCTGCTCGCTTTTTCGCTATGACCTTCCCTTGATGGGCCTGCTTTATCCTGATGACATGATATCAATTCCCTTTCTTTTTCCCTTGACATGGAGGGCTTGCATTTGTTGTTTCTGTTTTATTCGCGGTCAGACTGGCAGCTCTGATTTATGTGATGGCTGGACGTTCACCTGGCGTACTAGGGACTTCCCCCTGTCTCCTTCAATTGCTATCTATTTCTTGCATGTTTTCTCTGGCTCTTTCCAGGTGTCTTTGCATTCCATGGACATACCGGCGTGTGTCCCAGGCTCTCTTTGTATTCGGCGGCTGTGTATTCCCTTTCTACTTTTTTTGCATCCGGACTTCCATTATTCGACCTGCTGTGTCTTGAAGACCGCGGGTGTGTTTATTATGGATTAATGTACGTTAAGATCTCCCTACCCTGATACCACAAGCCGAAAAGGGTCTTATTCGAAGTCAGTTTCCTCACAGCCGCCGTTTACATAAACGCTCTGTCCTGCAATGTCCCTGGTCCGGGAAATGCCCATCATGTAATTATCTTGTGCACTTTTTTGTATATTTGCTTAGTCGTGCTGCTTAGTCGTCACCCTTGTCTCGAGCGATTTCGATCTGATCTTCACGTCCCCCACGTCTACCCACCACGTTGCCACTTTTTTGACTTCTTGGACATTCACTGACTCAATGCTCTAGTAAATGAGGACTTTCCTCCTCTAGGAGACCAATCCAAAGATCGACGGCCTGTTGACAGCTTTGGATTTTTGAAGTCTCAGTTACCTGGCGAGTCAGCCGCTCGTGCTGGGACTCCGACTCTGCCACCTGGCCTGCCTTTACCTCACGCTCATCCCTCTTCTTCTGTCTTCCAGGAACACAGTTCCTCCAAACCTTCGTCTCCTGCCCCAATTCTCCCACCTGGTTTAACGCCCAACATTTCGCGACTCAACAGCCCATCGCAGAGCCGTATTGACAGTCCCTCTCGTCTGTTGAGTCCTGAACTCACTGTGGGCGGGCCTTTGACATCAAGCCGCGTTAAGGACGCTTCTCTAATATCCTTTGGCTCGCCTGTGCAAAAGCCCGCGAGCAAGGCTCGTAACCCACGCAAGAGCGAGTTCAATATTGGGGCCGATTTCAAAGATTCCTCTGCAAAGGCTGCAAACCAGTCGCAGCCAAGTTCTGCCAGTACAAAAGGCAGCCCACTCGACTTCGGCGCCCCGCTACCCATATCCATCAAGACTGAGCAGATACCACCTCCTAGCTCTATTTCCGCAATCGGGTCGCGGCCCGACACACCCCAAACCATCGCATCTCGCCTATCTGACTCCCCTGCCCCTCGTCAGCCTCGTATTCTCCGTGTGGTAGAAACCCCAAAGACAGAAACTCCTCCTCCCATCGTCACCTCACCCTCTGTGTCCGCTTCTGTTGTTGGGGGTACCAAGTCCCGCTCTAGGAGACAAAGCATGTCGTCAACCAGCATCCCCGACACTCCTGCTGACATGGGATGGGAAGGTGATTACTATCCTTCCACCTCTGCTTCTCGTGCAAATTCCCCTCCTGCTTCTTCTCGTATCGGCTCCGCCCCCGTTCGTTCCATGACCAAGAGCCAGGTCAAGAAGGAACGGAAGCAGAAGGCGAAGGAGGCTGAGGCCAAGAAGGTCGAAATCGCACCTGTGAATGAGGAGCCTGTTCAAGCACCTATTATGGGGCGAAAGCGCAAGACCAAGAAGGCCCCCACAGCCACTGTGAGCAAAGCCGATGCACCTGCTGCCAGTGCCCCCGAAAAAGCGAGCCCTGTGAAACCCGCGACCGTTTCTCCGGTCAAGGCCGAGCCCAAGGTGGATACTACCACAAAGAAAGTGAAACCCAAGGAGACCAAGCCTGCCAGAGAGCCTACTCCTCCCCCTGTTGAAGAGCCACCTGTTCAGAAGGAAACTCCCGTAGAGCCATGGCGCTCAAACAATACAGTTGGGCAGTTGGTCAAGGATTCCGAGGCACTCGGAAGGGCAATCAAGGATCTTTTCGTGGAACGAACTAAGCCTCTTCACGAGTTGCTCGCTGAGATGCACAAGTCCGGCGAACTTGACCTCAACAAGAGTTCCCTCTTCAACCCTAGCAACCTCAGTCAGCGCACCGACATGAAGTGCACTGCGGATGACTACGATTACCTCCAGTGTCCCAACGAGTTGACTGAGGAGGATCGGAAAACTCTGCTTCGTGGAGAACCCGTTCGAATTGGTGATGATTTCCTCAAGACTCGATGCCTCATCACGCCCCGCGGCTGTGTCCTACGCCACCTCGAGCCAGAAGAGGAGGAGCGATACCTAGAGCTGGAGAAGAACATGGCCGGCATCTCCGATCCCTTCATGATTGGAGACGACGCGAGCAATCCCAGTGGAGGTCTGGAGGCACTTTTCGCGAACCCGGAAAAGTTCAACATCTGCTGGGTCGACGACATGCCCACTCGCCTGGGTGCCACGTCCCCGTCCTCTTCTCTTGAGGCGGCAGAATCCGTAATTCCGCCTAACGTCCTCTCTGCCATGGAAGCAGACAGCACCCGCAACCACGACTGGGCCGTCGCCAACTCGGCAGAATTTCTCAACACCACCCCCGCTGCCGTGCGCTCCTTCGCCGCAGTTACCGCGCAACACATGCTGGGCAATCCGGGCATGGTTGGTACCAACCCAACCCTCGACGACGTTGCCGGCTTGACCAACGAGGAACTGAAAGATCTCTCTGGTCGCTCTCAAAAGGATCTCGAGCTTACCCGGAAAGAAGTGGATTCGCTAGACAAGAAGTTCGCAGCTCTGCTTCGACGCAACAAGAAGCTTCAGCAGCAGGCATTGAACTTTGCTGCTGAGTCGGAGGTGTAATCATTGACTCTATCTCGGATCGGAGCTCTCAGTCCCCTTCGCAATCGCAGATCCTTGGGCGCAACTGAAATTTCTGTGCATTACATATGGATTTGCATGATACCCCGGATGGTGGTATTTCACGGCGTTCTAGTCCATTCAGCATGACTATCTATTTTTGCCTGAATGAATCATTGTATGATATTTGTTTACACTTGTCTACGTAGGTCCTAGTAATCTAATGTCCAATGTCCCAACACTTCCATGGGCCTGCGGTGTTGGGAGTCAGCCCATTCACCTTCTAGGCCTATCCTCGATACTACTTGGCACGCGATAAGCAAAAACATTTTGATCCTTAAAGAGACCCCTCGACGCCAAGTGAACATCGAAGCATTCCAAAAATTTATTTTTACGAGTCATGGATGTGATATAGATTGCATATAAATCTCCTCCTTACCTGCTAAAGCGATCTGAAAGCAGAAATTAAAGACGGAGTCTAGCCCGTTCACACTTTTAGCAGTTACAAGTGAGAAATTATATCTGAATTCCGATTTTCATCCAACATGCGGCCAATATGGGGATGCGCTAAAGGATCACCGACTCCGCCAGGGCTGGATCTCTCGACTTCCACATTCCTCTACTCCGTACATTTTAATCAAGCCCAGACATTTAATGAGGGCTCATTCCTCCGAAGGGATCCGACATTGGCCCCCGGGGCCATTCTTGGTACCACACGATGCTTAATTGGCTATTCAGGTTCAAGGTGCTTGTCTGGCCCTTGAAACATATGGCTGATTCCTGTTATTTTAGGTCTCTTTCTACTTTCGACCTGAATACAATAAGGATTGGGGCTAATGTTTGACTCTGCTGTCGCTATCCGATCCCTTTCCTCCCATAGGACATTGTTTCCCCGAGTCTCTCGGCTGGCATGTATAAAGCATGCATTACTCACTGAGTATACTTTGTAGTCTCAGTCTTGTTGGTCTTTTCTTTCTTTCCTTGCGCTCATTCCTATATCATTAGCCCCCTTGGGTGCTACACTCATTCGTTTATTTGTTCACGTTCAACCCAACATATACAATGATGTTTCAATTACTTTCCGTCATAGCTACCGTGCTTACCCTAGCCTCAACTGTCGCATCAACCGGCCTACTAGTACCACTATATGCCTGGCCCGGCATCGACGCATGGAACACAATCTACGACTCAATCGCAGCCCATCCCTCAATCCCATTCTACCTGATAATCAACCCATCCACGGGTCCCGGCACCACAAAATACCCAGCAGACGTCTTCATAACCGCTATCGCCAAGCTAAACAGCTATTCCAACGCCAAAGTCCTGGGGTACACCTACACACATCAAGGCACGCGAGCCAGCTCCGAAGTCGAAAAGGACATCGCTACCTACGCCAAATGGGCGACCTACGCAGGGAAGAATATCCGTCTCTCGGGCATCTTCTTCGACGAGGCACCGAACGGCGCGGATCCGAGCAAGCTCCCCTATTTCCAGAACCTATCGAGGAAATCTAAGAGCAGCAGCTTGAGCACAGTCGTCTTCAACCCTGGTGTCAAGCTCGTGGCTGATGTTGCTAAGTGGTTCGCAGCCGCGGACTTTATTGTCGAGTATGAGAATACGTATGCTAATTGGGTGGCTCGGATTCCTGATGAGCATTTCTCGACGTCTGAGTACTATGGGAAGGATGCTGTTATTTTGAATCAGACGCCTGAGGATGCGAATATTGATGATGTTGTTCGGTTGGCGAAGGATATGGGCCTCGGTGCTATTTATCTGGCTTCAGATGATAATTATATGAGTCTCACTACTGTGCCTAAGGTTGCTGTTGCTGTTGCGCAAAACCGGAGTGCTAGGCGCAGGGGACATAGTCGATATTAGACCTTGGTATATACTACGCGTAGACTTTTTTCTCATTTCTATGTTATGACCACATGTGAGGGCATATATTTTCTTGCCTGAATATATAGAAACTGTGGGAGATTCCGCAGCCGGAATATTCAACAAGCATCACGATAAAACATCTTTTTTCTGGGCATCTCCGGAATCTATATCAATATAGCTCTCGTATTATAACGCTCTAACGCCCCAAGGGTCGCATGTATATTTTGTGGAGACAAGCCCTCTCAATCCAAACCATTAATCCCATCTTTATACGGCCGCAGATCATACTCATCAGGATAAGTTTCCAAGATGCGCTTGAGCTCCGTCATCTGCTCCCTCTGCTCCTCCGTAATCTCCTCATAAACATCCGCAAAAGCCTCCCTAAGCGAGGGCTTTTTCTCCTGCTCGGCCTCGCCAAACTCCTTCAGCACCGCCTTCCGCATCTCATCCCGCGTCTCCTTCTCCTGCTCCTCACTCCAAATACCCTGATTCTCAAGCCACTTCCGCAGCCGAATAATAGGGTTATCACGACGTTTCCAATCCTCAACCTCGACGCGGGCGCGGTACGCAAAGCTGTCGTCACTGGTACTGTGATGCGAGACACGGTAGCTCATGGCTTCGATCAGCACAGGCCGTCCGCCCTCACTTAGGGCAAGTCGGCGCGCTTCTTTCATCGCTTCGTTTACAGCGAAGACGTCGTTGCCGTCTACGCGGATCGTGTCGATGCCGTACCCTACGCCGCGACTGGCGATTCCATCGCCCCGGTATTGCTCTAGCGTCGGCGTTGAGATTGCGTAGCCGTTGTTTCGGCATATAAAGACAACCGGGCAGGATCTTGTTGCGGCTATGTTCAGCGCGGCGTGGAAGTCGCCTTCGCTGGCGGCTCCTTCGCCGAAGTAGCAGGCCACAATGCGGGGGTCCCGGTTCGGATTTTGAAGGTCTTGGAGTTTCAGGGCGTAGGCTGCGCCGGCGGCTTGGGGAATTTGTGTGGCTAATGGGGATGATATTGTGTGCTGTTGGGTGTGTGATTAGGAAAAGTACATTGCTGTATCAAGGGGGTAGTGGGACTGACCATGCGAGGATAGTTTTGTCCATAGTGGACTGGCATATTTCGACCACGGCCTGTATCATTGCAATTGGCGAAGAGCTGGCTCATGAAGTTCTTCAGTGTGAATCCACGTTGCTGGAATACGCCGGCTTCGCGGTATTGTGCAAAGACGACATCATCTGGTGTCAATGCCGCCGCGGATCCAACTGTGATGCCTTCTTCGCCGGCGGAAACCTATAGGTAGCCGGTCAGATGAGACATTTTCATCTTCACACTCTTGACGAATTTCACATACCATGTAGAAACTCAAGCGACCCTGCCGTTGTGCCTCGAACATGACCACGTCCATAACGCTTACTGCACGCCAAAAGTCAGGTACTTGATATCACAGCAAGCGAGGGGTAACTAACCAGACAGCATATTTTTGTACCACGTCAAGACTTCCTCATTCGTAACATCGGGCGCTGGTCTCGTCTTATCAACCTGATAACCGTCTGAGTCCATCACTCGGTAGGTAGGGATAGCGGGCAGATCTGAGGCTTTGAGGAAGGCCATCTCCGAGGTGAATTTGCTGTTCACAGCCCCGGGGAATCGAACACTAAACACATTAATACCTCGTCAGCGTTTCTCTCAAAAAAAAATATTGTCCTTGAAGCGATCACCTGTCTGACCCCGGCGGCTGCGAGATGGAGCTACTCCACCTCCGTGCGGGGACGATGCGCGCTGTGGTTACGGGCTGGCTGCGAAGGCCATTCCGAGTCAGGAGCTTTAGAGACATTTTGCTCTCTCTTGTTATTAGCATTGTAGTTTTAATTTGTTTCAATGGGAGAAAGGTGAGAGATTCGGTTGTCTTTGAATGTTAAATCTGGGGGAGTGCGGAGGGCGGTTGGCGTCGGCATTTTACTGTCACTCCGCGGCCAACCGAGTATCCGGTTGATGCGGGGAAAATAATAAGAGACTACATGTATGTACGAAGTACTGTGAACGACTTTGAAAGATCTCAATTGATTGTATTCTTTGTATTCTGATTGCTTCTTCAGAATGAGGTTTCAATGAAGATGCAAATATCGCACACCTCAAATGACCCCAGGCGGTGCAGTTCAAATCCCGCGCGTATCACATCCTGCATTGCGACAGGGATGGCGAGAGAGCCAATACGTTCCTCTTCCACCCATTGATGTTCAAAAAACTCGCTGTGGTGAATTGCGACTTTCGGCAGATGTATCATGAATGACAAAGTTGAGTTTGATGATGATCTCTTCTTCAGATCCCCATCTCAAGGATTCTACCTTGCAGATGTTGTGGTAGCCCTGGAGTCCAAGACCAGTCTTGTCGAGGACTATGCGCCTCCGGCATCGGCGATGGTCTCATCAATGCCTGGCATATTAATAATAATAAACCGGCATTTAGGGACTAAATGCTTTCTTAGTTGGGGGTTGGTTATATGACGATCTAGATATGGTGTTCTAGAATTCTGCCGCTTCTAACCGCCTTTTATTGAAAAGTAGGAGGAAGTTCTCCTAAATCCCTATTTGCATTGTTTGATCAGAGTCCCACAAATGACTGTGATTCCACCAATCCTTTTCCTTCTTCTCTTCCTTCTTTGTACTTCGTATTTTAGTTGAAATGCACTCTTTTGCTCAAAGAACTGGCTGGTAACAATTCGGAAGTATGTAGGTAACGCTTATTAGGCGCGTCGTTATATATCTATTCGGCTTCGCTATCTAAGGGTGAATACTAAGTAGCACACGTATAGGATAATAAAAAAATTTATGCAAGCGGTGAGATTCGAACTCACGCTCCGGAGAACTGCGGATTTGTAATCATGATGATACCTAAACACAGCGCCTGTTGATTTTGTTAGTGTGATTCAGTTTAAGATAACATCAGGAAATTCTAACCTTAACCACTCGGCCACACTTGCTTCTCGTGTTTGATGATTCAGTTTAAGATGACATCGAGAACTTCTTTAACACTCGGCCACACTTGCTTATCACGATAATATTGATTTGGTCAAATATCCTATATAACTATCTAGTTAAAGATATTTACATACATGTACTAACCTTCCAACGTTGGAAGGCCCTATTTTACCCCAATAGGCACGATTGCTATCTCTGTACTATAGAACATTTACGCCATATATAATTAGCTCCCGTTAGGTACCAACGTCTGGGAGAAGTGCCAAATTGATAAATCGCAATTTTTTACTCCGTCTTTCTTCAACTACCTACTGACAGACCGGGATCTGTCCCACACCTCCTGTAAGTCTAAGATCAGGGTGTCGATGCCTGGGGCCGCCATGGTTAGATGGGCAAGTTGATTTGAGAAGATGGAGATGTTGATTGGTGGAAAGTTGAAGTTACACAGAGGGCGATACAAATACTGTTTGCTATCTTGCTTCTAAAATGGTCTCATTGTCTCATTCTCTAAGACTTGCATGAGTATGAAGTCAACAACTACAGTCCGAGAGTAGGAAATAGCAAAAACCACCAAATAGGGGGGGGAAATATCTTAAAAAATATCTGAGAAGACTAAAAAGATTCCGAAAAAAGTATCAAAAGAATACATCCCAAGGCTGCATAAGCGACTGTTCTTGCTATACAGTGTTCCTGGAATATGAAAGGGGTCGTCATCGCCTATGATGACATTGGTGCCTGCACCAGGCTTCGGCTCCACTATTTGGTGGAGACGATGACATAGTTGGAATAGCTTTCTTTATATCTTCAATTCTGGTTCTGTCTTCAATTCCTCTGTACAATCAAATCATGCATGAAACCGATCAAATTCGCGAGGTATTAAATACCGATATCAGAACTCCCATTCCCCAGCCACTCGTAACCAGGATCACATCCCTGCCGCCATTTATCCCTATACAAGGTGTCTCCAACTTTCGCGACCTGAGCCATGATGACAACAAGCTACGTCCGGGATTCGTGTATCGGTCGGGAAACTTGTCCGACATCTGGGGTGCCGGGAAATCCATCATCGCAACCGAATTGGGAATCACCACAATCTTCGACCTCCGGAATGAAGGCGAGCGACAAAAAGCACCTCCACCTTCTATCACAGGAGTCGAGACGATATGGTTACCATACGGAGCACGACCGGCCACTTTGAATCTCCGCGACTTCGCAGGTGAAGACAAGGGTGCTGCAGGGTTCGTGAAGATGTACTTCGGGATCCTTGAAGCGGCTGCCCCATGTTTCACCGAGATATTCAAGCATATCAGAGATAACCCAGATGACCCGTTCATCGTCCATTGCTCCGGTACGTTCCACGTGTATCATCTTGCTCTCATGGTTATTTTCGCCTAGTCGCGTGCAAACCCGATTCATAACCGATGAATGCTAACCATAAGTTCCCATCCACAGCCGGTAAAGATCGCACGGGTGTCTTCGCCTCTCTTATCCTCCTCCTGATCAATCGACCTCATGACGATATTATCAACGATTACATCCTCACTCGAGTCGGACTGGAAAGCGCCCGGGAGAACCTCATGGAGGCATTCGCGATAAACTTGGGAACTGACGGAATCGACATCAGCCAGTTGAGTCCCGAAGCACTGGGTATGCTCGAACTGTGTGGTGTTCGAGCCAATTCCATGGCGGCTTTCCTGATATCATTTGAGAACACCTATAAAAACGGCGTTGAGGGCTATCTCATCGACAGACTTGGGTTTACTCTGAGGGATGTATCGACGATGCGCAAGAACCTGACCTAGCGGAGCAACCGCGATCATCTGTACAAATAGAAACAAGCATGTATAGAATAGATATATATTATTGCATTAGCTATGTTTCGGATTGGACCGACTCCGGGGTTCTGCCTCTGGTTCCATGTGCTTCGTATCACTGGTTCAGCCCAAAGGGACTTTTTCCATGTATAACCAGGGATATCCGCTACACCCCGGCGCTAAGAAAGTAAGCCTTACGCCCCCTCCCGTCTATAGCTTCAGCGCCCTCTCGACTTCCGTATAGCTTCTAGCTCCAATCCCGCAGTTCATCGCTATATCCTGCGTTTGGTCTAGAATCGGAATTCGCGACTTTATCCGGGATTATCGCAATTCGTACCTTAGCGCTGCTACCGTTGCTTTCTCCCCCGCGCGAGGGGCTGCGTGCTAAGATCCCCCCCCCCCCCCCCCCGCTTCAAAAGCCCAGACTACAATGCATTCCCCTCTGTTGCATCATTCTGCTCAACAGGAATGACATCGTAAGATAGTATGGTACTTTTGTGTGGGTCATCTGCTCGTTTCCAGTCCGATATTCTGCCGTTTGTGCCAGGGAACTAAAGGATAAATTGGATATACTTATTACACCAAGCCCCTCGATCTTGCAGAAGCATCTCGGCATAGTTTGCTTTTGACGCCATGTACCTTTGGAACCAGCTTGTGCTGGCGGTGTTTCCATCACTGCTACCGACGACTCTTGGGCATAATGTTTTGGACCTGAGTGGTGATGGATGGACTGTCAGCAGCAAGGCGCTCAATATTAGCGTCCCTGGCCATGTTCCTTCGCAGGTGCATTTGGATCTTCTTGCTGCGAATGTTATCGGTGAGTCTTTCCTAGCCCACAATGTTGACTGATCTAACAAAAACAGATGAACCGTCAGTTGAACACTCATTTCTCTTGTAACTGCTATATACTAACTCGAATCATGTCGAAGCTATTATGGTTTAAATGACTTCAACTTTCGTTGGATTGCAGACAACAATTGGACTTACACAAGTAAACCAATAAACGGCTTGTTTGTGTCCTTCGCTGTGTAAATTGGAATTCCCACTGACTTTTCATAGGTTAAGCACCTCCAAATCCTCCTGGCTTGTGTTTAATGGACTTGACACCTTTGCAACAATTGAGTTCTGCGGCCAATTTATAGGAACCACAGATAATCAGTTCCGGCAGTACACTTTTGACATTTCCAATGCACTGAAACATTGCAACGGCCCTCCAACCGTTTCTCTCGAGTTTGGAAGTGCCATTAAGATCGCAAATGCAATCGCCTCTGATCCAAACTCACAACGTAAGTGTCCAACAGTAGGATATGACGCTATGTCTGACAATGTCTCCAGAATGGCCTAGTGGCGTTCAAGGAACCTTTGAATTCCCTAACCGCTGGTATATTCGCAAAGAACAGTCCGATTTCGGCTGGGATTGGGGCCCAGCGTTCTCGCCTGCTGGGCCATGGCAGAATATCTACCTGGTGCAGTCTAGGGGCGAGGAAGATGTATATGTTCTAAACACGGGCTTTGACATCTATCGAAAAGGCCAGATCAATCACCTTGCTCCTGATCAGAGTCAGCCCTGGGTTGTCAATGCAAGCATTGATTATCTTGGCTCACTACCTAGACACCCATCTATGTCTATCGAGATCAAGGACCTCGAGTCGGGCAAAATATTGAAGTCCGGATCCCTCGATAATGTTGTTGTATCTGGACAAACCATCACTGGTATCACCATAGTTGATGCAGATTCACCGAAGCTTTGGTATCCCACTGGTATGGGAGAGCAAAGTTTATACAACGTCACAGTTACAATTCAGAACAAAGCTCAGAACCTCGCGACGGTAACCAAGCGCACTGGCTTCCGTACTATTTTCCTGAACCGATCCAATATAACCGACGAGCAGTTGGCTCAGGGTATCGCACCCGGCGCGAATTGGCATTTCGAGGTGAATGGTCATGAGTTCTACGCCAAGGGCTCGAACCTCATTCCACCAGATGCTTTCTGGCCGCGAGTCACCGAGGCCAAGATGCAGCGACTCTTTGATGCAGTTGTCGCTGGAAATCAGAATATGCTCCGAGTCTGGGCTTCGGGCGCTTACCTTCCGGACTTCATGTATGATCTTGCCGACGAACGCGGAGTGTTGTTGTGGAGCGAGTTCCAATTCAGCGATGCTCTGTATCCGACAGACCAACCCTTCCTTGAAAATGTTGCTTCCGAAGTTGTCTACAACGTGAGACGGGTTAATCATCATCCGTCATTGGCTGTGTGGGCCGGAGGAAATGAGATTGAAAGTTTGGAGCTACCAAGCGCTAAGCAACATGATCCTGCTTCATACCCCCGCCTGGTTGGCGATTACGAACATCTGTTTATCTCTCTGATTCTTCCGCTGGTCTACGAGAACTCGCGGTCGATTTCATATATGCCTAGTAGCACCAACAACGGCTTCCTGGAAGTTGATCTGTCTGCTCCAGTTCCTATGGCCGAGCGCTACGATAACGGTACAGAAGAAAAAGGCCATTACTACGGTGATACCGACTACTACAACTATGATAGCAGTGAGGCCTTTGACTTCACCGGCTACCCAGTCGGCCGCTTCGCCAACGAATTCGGCTACCACAGCATGCCGAGTCTACAAACATGGCAGCAAGCCGTGGACGATAAAGACCTCCACTTCAACAGCAGCACCATCATGCTCCGAAACCACCACTATCCAGCAAATAGCCCAGACACCCACAACTACAACAACTCATCTAAGGGCATGGCCGAAATGACCCTAGCAGTAGAGAGATACTACCCGATCCCCAACAAGCAAGACTCCGTCGCCAACTTCAGCGCCTGGTGCCACGCAACCCAGCTTTTCCAAGCCGACATGTACAAGTCCGAAATACAGTTCTATCGCCGCGGAAGCGGAATGCCAGAGCGCCAACTCGGAGCCCTGTACTGGCAACTCGAAGATATCTGGCAGGCTCCGACGTGGGCTGGCATCGAGTATGACGGCCGCTGGAAGGTCCTCCACTACGTCGCCCGTGATATTTTCCAACCTGTCATTGTCTCGCCGTTCTGGAATTATTCAACGGGTGATTTGTCTATCTATGTGACATCGGATCTCTGGGAGACTGCCCACGGAACTGTGAATTTTACCTGGATAGACTTATCCGGTAAACCAATCCCAGGGAACGCGGGTACTCCCTTGATCAAACAGTTCTCTGTTGGAGCACTCAATACTACCAATATCTACGATACTAACGTGGCAAAGCTCTCTTTGCCTAATACGAAAAATGCTGTCCTAGTAATTGATCTCACTGCTCAGGGCCGTCACCCGAATGCCGAAAGCAAGACCTTGACTACTTTCACACACCGGAACCAGTTTACGCCCGTCTTCCCTAAAGATCTGGCACTGAAAGACCCGGGACTCAAGCTGTCTCATGATGCACAGACTGGCACTCTCACCGTCGAAGCTCAAAGTGCTGTCTCGCTGTATACATGGCTTGACTACCCCGCTGGTGTGGTGGGATACTTTGAAGATAACTCGTTTTCTTTACTTCCTGGCGAGAAACGGACTCTTCAGTTCGTTGTGCAGAAGGATGAGATTGGGGGGAAGTGGGTGGATGGCGTTACCGTACGCAGTCTGTGGGATCAGACTACCAAAACTTGATGAATGTGTACATTGCATTCATGGATGTAGTTTCTTCTATCAGCTGTTTCGTCCAACTTCTTTGTATCTAGCCAATTCTCGACCTCGCTCCACGCCAACAACCTCTGATCTTAACATTCTTGATTCGCGGATTCCTGGGCCTACTACTCTTATGCTCAAACCAGACACAGATTGATAGTGATGTTAAGTATGGTAGACCGCCCTTACTTCTATGACACTGACTAGTTCTTCATATCAATATTTGCATTTCATGTAGAACGCATACATATGTCTGTCTATCCGACTTATACTACTAAATTCGTATCCCCATCTATTTACCATTATAAATAGCCGTGGCATCAGTGAGGAACTTATCAAATGCCCCATCACCGGTAGTCGGCACGATCGACTTAGGAAGGTCCTCACCCTCGGTGTTACGGTCATCGACAGTCTTAGCCTTCGTCTTCTCAACCCACTCCTTGGCATACTTGAACTCAGCATCTGCCGTACTTTGATTCTTGCCATCGAGCGCCTCGAGCATAGCAATCAAGTGCTTGCAGGCATTCGCCCACTGCGTAGCAACAGTCGACCAGGGTGCCACGTCCGTAGCGAAGGCCTTGGTAGCCAAATTGGGGAGAACGTCGGGGATGGTGAGGATGAGTGCGAGGCGATCTTTCAACGCCTTAGTCCCGTGACTAGTGCCGGCTTTGCGAGCGGCCCAGAAAGCCGCAATGTCCTTGGTAAGCTGGGGCGCATTGACCTCGGGACTTTGGTATGGCCAGTTCTGGTTGAGGTCGGTGAACGCGATGAGTGCGTTGTGAACGGTTGTGTCACTGCCCGATAGCTCCCATAAGCTTGCATCCATAGACTTGGTGGCATCGTATGATGGCCCGTTCCACGTATAGTCGCCGTAGTTGGCGAGCGCAGCCATTGAGGCGTATGATTGACTCATCGGATTCGAGGTGAAGCCAAGAAGATGCTTGTATAGTTCGGCGGCACGCTTGGTGAGCGGGTTGAGGAATAGACGGTCACGGTTGCCGTCGTTGACTGGGAAGTTGTCCCATAGGAAAAGATTGTCGGTGACGTAGCTCGAGTCGGCGGTCACAACGCTGTCGACTGTGATGTTGTCGCTGAAGACTCCTTCGCCGGTCCACTGAACGCGGATCTTCTTATTTAGCTTGGTGCCGAATTCTTTCTTGTACGGGGATGGTGCGCTGCCGGCGTAGTTGGTTGGGACAGTCTCGAGATTTTCGAGATCATTTGGCTCGATGTACTCCGTCTGAACACGGTTCAGATAGAAGGCCTGGGCATCGGCGATCCATTCGTCGTTCTCCGTTTTGGGCCACTTCTTCTTGTCCGCATCACAATGGAACTCGAGGGCGATATCGTCGAGAGCGATGTAGAAGCTGCTGACGCCAAAGTCGCGCAGCTGGTCAAACTTGGCCACAGTAGCGTCGAAGTCCTCGTCCGATGAGTAACATACGTCTAGGCCGGGAGAAAGAGCATAGGTGAAGGCGACATGGTTGGTATTTGCTGTCTCAACAAGCTCCTTAAGCTGGGTAAGCTCGTCTCCACTGTAAAGAGTGCGCCATTTGGCGCGGAGAAGTGGGTCATCCTTTGGCGTGTACACATAGGTATTCATCTTGTGCTTTCCGTAGAAAGAAAACTGGTCAAGACGTGCCTGATGAGACCAAGGGACACCGTAGAATCCCTCAATCGAGCCACGGATAGACATGAGCGGCCAGTCGCGCACCTTGACACCGGGAATATGGTCACCGTCGAGAAGTTGACGAAGAGTCTGTGCCGCGTAGAAAGTGCCGCGTGTGTCTACACCATTAAGTACAATGCTTGGCTGTTTCTCATACTTGCCACATGCAAAAACGTAGCCGTCGGCGTCGAGGCCATTCGCAGAGTTTCCCGCAAGAGCCTTGGCAGCAGCGACAGCGACGCCAGCTTCCGCCTCTGTACCAACGAAGATCTGCGTGCCCTTGCCGCTGGGCTTGGAGGCGAGAACAGCATTACCACCGGCGGCAGCCACAATTCCCTTGACCGTGGAGATCGTGGCAGAGTCCTTGAAATCGTCGGTTATGATGGTGACATCACCCTTGAGCGATACCTTTCCGCCGGTCATCGTGATCTCTTGAGGAGTGGGCCACACCGCGGGGCCTCCATCGTGAGGGCCAGCGAGGTTGTCGTGGGCAATGGGTACAGCATTGACCGGCCCAAGTGCGAGGGCCACAAGAAAAGCCCGAAGGCAGATGATGCGGTGTAGGTTGAACATTGTGTAAAGAAGCAACATCGTCCAAGGGCGTGGTTTATATACTAAGGAAGGTGGGGGTTACAGCCCCCGAGGTGTTTATTGATAACCTTCCAAGATTGGAAGTGACAGCTGCCCAGGTATTATGATCGGTTACATCATGGCGAGGAGAGTGCAGTATAGCCCCTAGAAGGGGGTACTATCGGGGTTTGATTTTTGATTAATTTCTTAGGTCGTATGCAGCCCCACGAAGTATCCTAAACAGCAGTTTAGCACAGCGTTCACGGGTATTCCAGGTATCCCAGAAGATAAGATCTACAGAAGATAGTACTCTCAGGTGGTAATGTTCGCAGATGGTAGTGTTCTCAGGTAGTAGTGCTTTGCGATAACGGAGCAGTATAGAGTGGAGGAACCTGCACGGCGACGATCAGTTCGAACTGCTAGGGGTGATTTTGGCAAGCTGGCATGATCTCGGCAATTCACCACCTCCCCGCTCGCCCGCTCATAACTCGGTGCATCTATCGTAATATATAATAGACTATAGCGAGTTAAGGTGGAGGCAGTTGTTGAATATTCCCCGGTGTCGCCGATCGCTGATTGGGTGGACACTTGACCTAGCCTGTAGACGAGTACGACCTTGTAGATCTTCAGATATCAATGTTCTCATCAAGCCACAACGGGATAATTAGATATCTCGGCAAAATACGCTCAAGCCATTAAAAGCCCAAAGCTTCTCTCGACTGTAACGTTACACTCCTCAGATTGCGGGGTAAATAAGGAGATGAAGTAGGGAGAATTGAATATATTCCGGTAAATCTGTTGGAATTGAAAATAGATTCGTCAGATCTCTGATCAATTATAATGACCCTGCAATATATTATTATATTATAAGAAATCAACGTGGCCTATCTTAATAGTTCTGTCTATGTGGTATATAGCAATTGTCCACATATCTGAACAAATTATCTAATCTTGGTCGGTTTTGGCACTTTTGTAAGAGACATTGAGGTTTATTAATAAGAATAGTCGCTTAACTAGTTATGCAACCTCTGTCCTTGATGACGTAAGACTTCCATGATATGATCTATTTGGCTCAAGACGATGGAGACGGTAAGCGTGAAAAGCTAGGGGGAGGGAAAGATGATGTATTCATTATGACTACCGCAGCCTTCTCCAGGCAGGGAGTCACCTGACGGTTACATCTGCCGACACCCTGAAATGTTGGCCGACCCCGGCCGACGCCTGCAGAGAAGCAAGACGCTTGCTGCGTAGTTAAATACATGAAGTATTGATGCTGTCGGGCCTGGACGCCGATGCGGCGGGGTTGAATTAGAGGCTATTATCCACCCGACGTCCTTTGGCCTGGTGCTCTTGGGGTGGGCGATTACCAGGGACCCGGACCAGGTGCATGTCCTGCGCCTGACAGGGCAATAGCCATAGGGTCGTTAGAAGATTTTTTCGGTTAAACCCATGTATAATATTGGGAAGAGAAGTCTTGCACCCCTTTGATGTTTCCACAACGTGACTCTGGTTCGTATATTCATATCCTCAAGTGAACGGTCATTACGGACTAGCTTTTCTTTAATTGGCCATTTTATTCCAATAGACCCTTGTTTCGATTAGTGGTGCCCGAATCATAACCAAGTAAGGCATAGTCGCTTTGTCCAACGGTAGATTCTCGTGGTCTCGATTTATATAAATGCATGTACATGCAATGTAGTTGTTGTTAGCAAAAGTTACTGTCTCCACCTAGGTGGTAAGTACACTTTAAGCATAGTTAATTTTCTTTCATCAACACAATCTGGAGATATCCACCTACGCATCGAGACTAACCTTCTCTAAGCCCGAGGAAAACCTTCGCCCGCAGTCTAGATCCGAATAGGCAAAGGATATACAGAGAGAAAGCTATCCCCACACCACGGAGTAAGAGCAAGGAACTAAAAAGCCCATTGCATCCACCGACGATCATAAAGATCCGGTCAAAGCTCGGGCCGAACAACTGCCGAAGTAAATAGACAGCTCTGGACTTTGTCGGCACGTGCCAGTGGTACTGCTAAAATGGCTAAATGGATATTTACTGTCTCTAATTTAACATCAGCCTAAATGAAAACTGGGTTATCAAGCTAATGATGCTAGTGTAGTGGATCGCCTGGTTGATTTTCATACTTGGAACACACTACAACATACAATTATTTCGTTTGAGTCTATTTTCTTTTTTAGATTTTGACATATTCACCGGCATGTTGAGAAAATAACCAGAAACAACATTATGTTCATCAGTCCATATATATGCATGTTATTTGTATGGTTGCGCCGAAATTGAAACACCCGAAAGTATGTAAATGCATCCCAAAACCATTATGCGAAGGGTTTGATTAAAAAAACCCCCGTAAACCGTATTTACCACTTGTTGTCGAAAGCCTTGCCGTCGATGTAATTAATCATCTCCTTTACTGGGGGGAGATGATCACGGCCAGCGCCAAACAACATGCCCTGACGCAAGACGTTGCGGTAGTTCTTGCCTGGAGACACCTTACCGAGGACATATTCTTGGCGAGTCTCGACACGAGTGGGGACAGGGATAGAACGGCCGACCACAGCCTCCATGCCCTGCCAAGCAAAAGTAATGGCCTCCTTCGCGCCACCAGGGATACCAGCCTCATCGAGCATCATAATGCGGGTGTTGGGGTAATTCTTCTGGATAAAGGCGGCGATGTTGGGGTTATACGCGCCACCGCCGCACATGAATATCTCGGCGATCTCGAGGTCCTTGGGAGCGTAACGACGGTAATGATCCACGATGGCCTGGGCGGTAACACGGGTGATGGTTGCGACAACATCGTCAGGCTTAAGGCCCTTGGCCTCGGCCTTGACGATGAACTCGTGGGCGAGAGTGTCACGGAAAACCTCACGGCCAGTTGTCTTGGGAGGTTCCAGCGCAAAGTATCGATGCGTCAGGAAGTCGTCGACAAGCTCCTGGTCGACGGTACCACGGGCTCCCATCTCGCCATCCTGGTCGTATTCACGCTTGCCGTTAGTGTAGTGGCGTACGACGGCATCGATGAACACATTTCCTGGACCGGTGTCGAAGTCGTAGCAGGCATCAACGCCGCCGTGGCTGTCCGGGAGGACAAAGCAGACATTTGCGATGCCGCCAATGTTCTGGCATGCACGCAGCTTTGTCGGGTGATGCAGCACTAGCGCATCGAAGAACGCAATGAGGGGTGCTCCCTGACGTCCGGCGGCCTGATCACTAACCCGGAAGTCGGTGACTGAGGTGATGCCCGTGCGCGAGGCTAAGAATGTGCCCTCAGCCATAGTCAGAGCGCTGCGGGTCTCGCCGGCCTCTGGCATGGACAGCAACCAGATGGTTTGGCCATGGGACCCGAGGATATCAATCGATTTGATATCCACATTGTAATCCTTACAGAACTGGTGCACGGCTGAGGCGAAGGTCTCGCCCAGGATCACATTCACTTCAGACAACTCGGAAGGGGAGGTCTTGTTAAAAAGAATCATATTCATGACTCGCTTTTTGATGACTGGCTCAAGTGGGATCTCGCCATACTGCGTCATTGGTCAGTATGTCGTAACCTGTGGAGCATCCCCGTAGGTACTTGCCTTAAGTAGTTCGAAGTGCATAGGCGATTCGGGGGTCTCCTGGCGGAATCTGCAAAGGGCGCAGTCAATGCCATCCTATAGCTGATGAGTCTAGTGTTTCTCAAGTGAACAGACAATCACCCACCATGGACGTCCCGCTATTCAAACCCAAAACTGTGATGTCTAGACTATGGCTGGTAGTGCCATTGACAGAGTTGGATGTCATGTTTGATTCCAAATTATGAGTAGTGGTAAAACGCAGAACTACCAGGAAAACAACTAGGAAAAAAAATTGAAAACATCTTTGAGGATCAAGACGTTATTTAACAGACTCGGTCTTAACAGCCGGAACCTCATAACGAACCAGCCGGTGGATGGTGGAGACTGGAATTCTCAATTCTTTCTCATAGATCTAATATTGGTTAGCGCAGAGGGGATGATCGGCAAAACGCCTATTAGGAAGTATTGATAAATGGCTACACGCTTGAGATCTGTAGGCTGGGGTCCCCGCATGAACTGCTCCATCGCGTCCCCAGTATGACCAAGCTTGGCCTTCAGATTCTCAATTCTTTTCTGATAGATTTAATATTGGTAAGCGCAGAAGGGATGACCGGCAAAACGCCTATTAGGAATTATTGATAAATGGCTACACGCTTGAGATCTGTAGGCTGGGGTCCCCGTATGAACTGCTCCATCGCGTCCCTAGTATGACCAAGCTTAGCCTTCAGATTCTCAATTCTTTTCTGATAGATCTAATATTAGTTAGCGCAGAAGGGATGATCGGCAAAACGCCTATTAGGAATTATTGATAAATGGCTACACGCTTGAGATCTGTGGGCTGGGGTCCCCGCATGAACTGCTCCAACGCGTCCCCAGTATGACCAAGCTTGGCCTTCGGATTCTTTACAAAATGCTGGGGGCGGATCCCATAACAAGGATTACTCGAGATAGCTTCTTTTTCACTTTGCGATCTGGGGAAGTCGTTTATCATCTATCATGGGCTATACCACTCTATGGAAGCGGCTTTCGCCGCGTCAGCTGAATGTCGCGATCCAAATATTCTCGCTGATCTCGATCTTCTTCGAGGGATATGACCAGGGTGTGATGGGTGGCGTCAACAGCTCTCCGAGATATGTGACAAAGGTCGGCATCGGTAAACCTGATGGGACAGTGACCGACACCACTCACCAGGGTGGAATTGTCAGCATCTATTACCTGGGTGCGATCTTCGGTTGTTTCGCTGGCGGGTGGCTTGCAGATCGAGTTGGTCGGATCAACGGCCTACTAGCTGGATCATTATTTGCGCTAATTGGTGGCGCCCTGCAGGCGGGCGCGCAGGATTCGAATTTCATGCTGTGCGCTAGGGTGGTTACAGGGGTCGGGACCGGGGGTAAGAATTCTTCCTAATCTTGCCTGAGGGCTCC